TGGAAAAAAGATAACAAAATTATAATTGGAATATTGGATTGGTTAGAAAATTATGCAGCATAAATAGAATGCCAGATAATGAAGAATTTCCTATCAGCTAACCTCAGATGCCTTTTTCTAACACAAAATGAGATAACTCTGCAGCAACCCTCAATCCAATACCCTTGATCATGCAGTTCCTCTAATAGTTGAAGCATAAGATTCAAGTCTCCCTCAGAATGAAGATACTCCTATGAGAAAATGAGGAAAAATAAACCCTGATATCACAACTGCGAAGGTCCTGTTCAGAACTTGCCATCAGAGATAGGACAGCTCTAGGCTCCAGATCACCTCCAGATTGCTTGATTTCTTCATATGTGTCTAGGGCATCAGCCATTTGCCCATTTGATGCAAGAGAAGAGATGAGAGCACTTCTGAGTTCATTTAGCCTTTTAACTGGCATCCCTTCATCCAAGAGAACCTACCATATAAATTAGTATATCTGAGATTGTCACAGACATAATATAATAAATAATGCATAAAGATGTAAGAAATAAGAACGGACGAAGAGAGAATGCAGAGAATTTTTAAGTTGTCAGATCCCATAGATATATCACATATCCAACACTTAATCATGGTTTAAACTGCATCATCAAGATGATTTCTCTATACTATATGATCAGTATATTTGCTCTTGTTTTTCCATCTCAAAAACAGGTGGGACTTCAAAAGAAAATGGTGCTAGATGGATGTATTTCAGTCCTACCTGTTTTGCTTTCTCAAACTGTCCACAAGCTGCATATGCATTAATAAGTGACATAAATATGTGCTTTGTTACTGTAATCCCAGAACACTTCAGTTCTTCACAATACTACAAGCAAATAATCAAATTATTGTATCAGTGGCCATGAAACCCATTTGCAGCATGACAAGAATAGAAGTAGCAATAATGCAAGAGACAGCAGAAATGAACTTATCTACATATAGAAACAGGGAAGACATAAACTTCAAGCAATTACTATATTGCATCAAACTACCTTGATAATATCCTCTTCACGGTCACAATAGCCTATTAGATGGCTGTAAGTTTGAGGATCTGGTTTTACGCTGTCAAGTTCCATTTGCTTGAGAACCCTCAACCCATCAGAAATTTTCTTCTGAAAATTATTATATAACAGTGCCATAAATCATTCATGAGGCATGTTCAAGATTAAAATGGCAATAAAGCTTTTCCAAAAGAAAAGAAGAAACAAAATAAATACAAAAGGATTAGACTGTAAAATTACCTCTCGAAAATATCCTGCCATTATAGTATTATAAATGCCAGCTACAAGTTTAACGTTCATTTTCCTTGAATCATTCAGCATCGCATATGCACCATCAAACTGCATTTAATGGATGACAAGAAATACAAGCTCTATTTAACTTAAACTCAGAATAAAATTAGTTTGATAAAATACACCCCCCATCAAAATGAAATTAGGAATTATGAAAAGCAAAAAGAATTAACTATGCACAAGCACTGGGAACTACAAAACAGGAGAGCTGGATAGCAGCTTACATCTTTCATTTTCACACTCAAAATTATCATCCTTCTAAATGTCTCAGCATTTGGCTAAAGGTTATGGCAACAGATCACTGAATAAATTCACCAAACCTTAAGATCAAACAAAATGACAAGAAAGATAATAAGAAACTCAGATAGTAGTCAACAGTCAAGAACAATATAAAATTCTCAATGAGAGTAATGACAAAACATTATAAGGGTAAAACAGCTTTGTAGAACTGGAGAATTGAAGTGCGATACCAAATTACACTCATGGTCTCTTCAATAGCATGCAATATGCAATTTAGCATGTCTATGGACAAGTTCAAACTGTCTTGAGAAATCTGGTTAACGATATCAAGAGCCAGTTGCACCTACATTTTGATAAATAAACATTAATCAATTTCAAAGCATT